GAAAATCTTTTTTTTTTTTTTTTTTACAAAACTACATTCTATTTTTACTATTCTGAGTATGTAAGTGCATAAATAGATAAATTGTTTTAAAAGTAGCTCGACAGTTAAAAAGCAGTGTTCATGTTTTTCATTTTTTATATTAAACTTGATATCAAGAATTATTGAATTTCACTTCATGTGATGCATCAAAACCTTTTTTTTAATTTTTATTAAACCTTTGAATCATAGTCAAATCAAATCTTGGTAGTCATGAAAATGCAAACTTTCCCGATTAACTAATGATTATTTTATGATTAATTGCTTTGCATGCCAGTTTTTTGCATTCAGGTTATAGTTACTTGTTATCACAGTCTTGCTGCAGGACACAATGTAATGCAGTTCAGAATATGGATGGATCAGTGGCTCTGAACCGGTTCCCAAAAACGGGTAAAACAGGTCTTTCTTATCTGTCCTGGGTCTTGCAGCAGGGGGAAAAAAACATTGGTATAAGCAAATGATAAAAGTGGATCTATATAGAATAGAATAGCTTTTTATTGTCATTGTACAGCTGTACAATGAATTTTTTTTTGCTCTCACATTGAAAGTACACACATGCATACAAAAATCTACATTTAACAAAATGTAAACAATGATACAGAAAAAGTAAACAGTGCAAATGTAAACTGGTGTACAGTAGACCGTGCAAATGTGCAAAATAGGTATAGTGTAAATGTTGCAAATATGTACAGTAGTGAATGAAATATTAATAAACACAAGAGAATTAAGGAATAAATATGAGAACAGTGTGTTGCACAGCTACACCAGTAGCTGTATGAAGTGTATAGTTCTTAGTATACCACACCCTTTGAAGCTTGTGATTGAGTGATATGTCTTCTATTAATTGGAGTTCAGTTCTAAGATGGCGCGTGGATAAAAACTGTTCCGGAGTCTGGAGGCATCTGTAGCGTCTTCCAGAGGGCAGCAGAGTGAAGAGGTGGTTGCCGGGGTGGGAAGAGTCCTTTATTATACTTCTGGCCCGTCGTATGCATCTGGTGCTGTAGATGTCAGCAAGTGAAGGCAGCTGTGCACCAGTGAGAGTTGATGACTCTCTGTTTTCTCAGCCATAGTGCAGCCAGCATACCACAGAATAAGAAGAAAATGTTCCATATGTTGACTTTGTTGAATCAAATTCATCTGTTCATTGGTAAAAGCTAGCCAAGTGCCAAAAATCTGGCCAGATGCCGACGTCCCTGAATAAAACTACAAGGTAAAAGAAAAATATGACCAGACTACGTGACATAAGGGTTCACATTCGGTATAGACACGCATTGGGTATCATTCACTGAGCATGCATACACACGAATCTGTGTGTGAAATCTGTGCACAAACATTCTCATATAGATGAAGACTTCAAATGCAAAAAATGAACAGGGAAAGAAAATATATTTCAATATTCCTATGAAATATTATATATTATTATGAAAATCTTGTCAATTATTACTCCCATTATTACACTTCTTTTTTCATTACACGTTGCCCCAAAAACACATTAATATGCAAATTAGATTTAGTTTATAGATACATTATATATAATGAGAAAACCTGTTTATGGCCATTTTACACACATTTTGCATGAAGAAAAATGGTATATCAAATCATTCTGTTATAACATAGTTGAGAATTATCTTTATACAAAGTTTGGTAAAAAAAAAAAAATCCTGAAAACTAAAAATGTATTGGTGATTTAAAAAAAATTTATTGTTTTTGCCTATGCATGCTCATTCATGTCTTCTTATTTTATTTTTTTTAAATTGAGTCCCGATGTTTTTTTTTCTTATGCATGTTCATTCGTGTATTTATTTTTTTTAATTTTTAAAAAAATTGAGTCCCGATGTCCTCTACCAAGAACGTAGCATAAC